CCACACACAACCAAAGTATATCTCTCAAACAGAAACATGTGTTGGAGGCCTCTGGCTTTCAGGCAGGGAAGAGCTGGTGTGAAATGGCTGAGATGCTGAATCTGCCGCCTGCTCTGGAGCCTTTCAGACAAGAGACTTGCCTTGTGAGGGGGACAGCTGCTTCCTCCCCAGCAGGGGGCTGCTCCAGGGCACCTGAGGACAGCCCCGCCACCTCATCTCTTCATCGATCTGTCTCGCTGACATTTTTTCTCACCTTCCTGCCATAGCTTTGGCAGGTTTTTATCACAACAGTTTCAGTGTGTGTAGACATTCCCTCGGGGGTACTAGAGTCGTGGTAAATACACACCATGCACACACAGACATGTACAAAGCAAGGAGGAGGCTGATGGGAGACATGTAGATGGGCACCGACATGGGAGCAGGTGTGCATGTGTGTGCACGCGCACGCGCACACACACACACACACACGCAAACCCTATGAACACACCCAGCGGCACACTCACTGTAACACTCCAAGGAGAAATTTATATGGAAAGTGAAGGCCTTTCAGGGTAAGAAATAAGGAGGAACTCACATATTCCCAACAGAAGAAACAATATCCTCACTTAGAATTATTCAATTTGCAAATAATCCTAATAGGTTGGTTGTGCACTCACTTCTAGATGCTGAGCCAAGCTCTTCCTACATGCATTATCTCATTTAGTCTTCATCGGTGCCCTAGGAGATCAATGCCCTTTACTGCATTCCCATTTCACAGGTCACAAACTAAGTTGTGGCTTCTCCCAGTGCATCAGCTACCACCTTCTACTCCCTATTCCAGGGAAGCCCTTCTGCATCCCCAGAATCACCAAATCATGTTCCCATCTTACGACCTTTGTGCCAGCTGTTCCTTCTACCTGGATGACGATCGGTCCCTAATCACCTCCTGCCACTTCACTTTATCGTTCTCTCTGCCCAAGAGTTCCCTTCTTGGGAGGCTTTCTCTGACAATCTTCCCAAAGGAGCATTCCCCACCATGTTCCTGGCCACCACTTCATTCCCACTGAATCTGTCAAATTTTTCATTGTATTTGCCATTACCTGACATACATCATTCATTCATTTACTCCTTCATGGTCTGTCTTTCTACCTAAAATATAAGCACTATCAGGGCAGGGATTCTGTCTATCTTGTTCCCCACTGAATCTCTAGTATCTAAAAAGTGCCAGCTCATAGTAGGTGCTCAATATTTGTTAATATTGAATGAATAAATGAGGTAGTGAGAGAGTTAGTAACTTGTCTATGGTCTCAGAGCCATGAATTATATAGCATTTGTACACACACACACTCTGTTCTCTACCTCTACTATTATACCATCCTTACCTTTTCCAACCCTCTAATCACATGATGACTGACTCTCCTGACAAACAGTCATCACCCCCCCCTCCATTTTTAGGGGATTTCCAAAAGTAACTCAATTAACACAAATTCAGTTGTGGTTGAAAGGGATTATTACGAATAACAAGACATCCCTTTCACTTTTATGGCTCCCCAAAATTTCAGAAACTGAGGACAAGAGACCAAATATTACAACAAAAGATTCTCCCATTGCTCTTAAGTAGGTTATTTAAATTTTTATAATCTTTTTTAAAAAGCTTATTAGTTTATTTTGAGAGAGAGAGAGAGAGAGAGAGAAAGCATGCACATGAGTGGGGAAGGAGCAGAGAGAGAGGGAGAGAGAGAGAATCCCAAGGAGGCTCTGCACTGTCAGCGCAGAGCCTGATGTGGGGCTCAAACAGGATGCTTAACTGACTGAGGTGACCTAGGATTTTAGGTTTAAACAGTATGTATACTTAAATAAAAACAAAAAGCAAAAAATAGTTCAGGACTGGGCAGGGGTTATGGCAGTAATAAACAGATGATGGAAGTTTGGGAGATACTTTCTTTGAGTATAGTCTGAGTATAGTCTTTTAATTACATATATAAGTTTGAACTTGGGAATTGAGATAAGTAATAAATAATAAATAATTTGTATCAGTCCTTTTCTTTTAAAAATTTTTAAATGTTTATTTATTTTTGAAGGAGAGTGAGACAGAGCATGAACAGGGGAGTGGCAGAGAGAGAGGGAGACAGAATCTGAAGGAGGCTCCAGAGCCTGACAGCTGAGAGCTTGACATGGGACACAAACCCATGAACCATAAAATCATGACCTGAGCTGAAGTCAGATGCTTAACCAACTGAGCCACCAGGCACTCCAGTCCTTCTCTTTTCCAATTCTGGGTCAATGATGACAGGGAGGATTCAATCAATAATTCATTCGTTCATTCATTCATTCATTCATTCATCCATTCATTCATCAAATAATTATCAAGGACCTATTAGGTGAGGTTTAGAAGACACAGGGCTGCCCTCAAACTGCTGACAGTCTGGTAAGAGAGAAAGACAAGGAGAAAAGGGCAGCCTAGTATGAGAAGAGCTACCAAAGAGGTGTCTAACCACAGGTGAGCAATCACCCACTGTGGAGTATGACAGCAGAACTAAGTTTTGAGGAACAAGACAGCATTAGCCAGATGAGAAAGAGAAGTGCCCTTCAGGCAGAGCAGACATCATTGCTGAGCGTATAGAGACTTACAGACTAACCTGTAGACTCAGGTGTGGCTGAGACCAGCCTACCAGCAGACAGAGGCTGGAGTGTCCCTAATGGATTTACCAGGCTACTCTTGTCCCAAACTCCACTTGGCACATGCAGTCAATAAAGCAGGCTTTTTGGGTTCTTGATGTTCTTTCCACTGGAACTGAAGCCCTGTTCTCTGCCTCCCTTGGCCTTGCCCTGAACTCCTATGTTCCATACCTGATAGATCACCCAGAATCTTGATGCCACCACATGCCTGACGTCAAATGCAGCTAATGTCCAGACACTCTTGTTGCAATGTCATAAGAATAAGAGCCTCCATTTATCAAGCCCGTACTCCATGCCAGGCTTGGTTCATGCTTGTTATACATGTTATATCATTTGATTCTTGGAACACTCTCGGGTGTTATTATTATCTCCATACAGTGGTTGAGGACACTGAGTTGTAAAGAGGTTAAGCAACTTACCTGAGATCATACTTCGTAAATGGTGGAGCTAAGGTTCATGCTCGGATACTCTGACACCAAAGCCTGTGTACTTAACTGTGCTATACCACCGCTATCCACAAGGAATGTGCAAATCCACCAGATACCAGTGTTGGGCCAGCTGGGATTTTATTTTGATGGCAGGCTATGTTCCATCTCTGTGAGGAGCAGTCCCAGAATGAATGCCCCAGCCCCCTCCATTCCTGTCTTCCTTTCTTTTCCAATAATCCAGAGCTCCGAGCATACCTCATTCTCCAAGCCTGAGTGGGCACTGGCCACTGACTGTGCTCTCAGGGAAGCAGAATGGCAGAGGACAAGGAACTCAGAATCTCAACTCAGTGATCAGAGAGGGTTCCACACAGTTTATATTTTCTATCTTTGGAAGTTCTCAAAGTTCCAGGTTCATAAATCCTGGCTTTTACATTAAGGCAAGAAATCCTGAAGTACTTAATCCCTTGTAGAGGTATTGAGTCTTCTCCAAAGGATCCAAGGAAAGCTGCTTCCCCTCAGTGTCCAGGGCTCAAAGGTAAGCAGCGAGTAGGGAGTTTGGGCCCCATCGGAAAAGGTACTCAAAGGTACCTAGAGAGGTATGGAGTGTGGGCCCTATAGGAAAAGAGCAAGGAATGAAAGCAAAGGAGCAGCCTCATACCCCATCCTGGCTCCTGGGGTAAAATGTTCTTCTATGGGCCCCACATGAGACAATTCCGAACCACAGCAGCCTCAATGAGGGCACCACAATGGGTCTCAGTGTGGTTGAGTGGGGAGTCCCGCACCAAGAGAAGATGTCATCAAGCTCTTGGAGAGGGTGGAGCTGCTGTGGCCTGCCAAGGCATAATGCACAAGCCCTGTGGGTGGCATAATGTAGTATTCATCTCCTTCACTGTGCAGAGAGGGGACAAGTAGAACAATCCAGACTCTGTCAGCAAGGTCCTCTGGGGAGTTCAGGCCTTGCTAAGAAGATGAATAAAGAGATGGGATCTGCCCCTGATGGCTGTTGCCTTTGTCATATACATATTCATGGGCTAGAGGGACAACTCCTGGGAATGACCCATCCTACACAGAGATGAGACAGGCAAGGTATGGCAGTGCTACTCCACCCTTGAGGTGGGTGTGTCTTGCGGGGTGGAACACTCTGGGCTATGCACTCCAGGATATACTCTTAAATATATGGAATTTTCAAGGTGATATTTATACATTTGCCTGCTGCAGACATATCAGTCCTCGTATAAGCTCAAGGACCCTTGAAGAACTTATAGTGTACTCAGCTGAATTCTAGAAACAATCCCAGCTTTGCTACTTTCTACTCAGTGTCAGTTAACAGTAATCCCTGCACCCTATGTTCTGCCTGGCTTGGCCTCATGAAAAATTCTGGAACTTCATGCTGGGGTTGTAGGTATGCACAGGAAGGCTCAGAACACTTGCTATATCATCTCACCTCACACACACAGACCCTGTTTTTTGAATCACCATCCATTTGACTGTTCTATGATATTCTTTCAACCAAGATTTTTGGGCAGCAAATCCTTGCCCACCATAGACCTCCAGGGTCCAGGAAGGTGACCTTGGTAGTAGATTATACTTTGTGTAAGGAAATCTAGACAAAAAACTTGGGCATCTGTACCATGTTTTTTCAAAAGAGAGTAAATGTTGGCCCTGAATCTATACTCACATCCCTCTGAAGTTAGTGGATTTGGTCTAGACTCGCAGACGTTTTGATATTTTAAATGTTTTATCCTCTGTTTCAGTGCACTCAACCTCAGTCCCCGGGCAGCTAACCAAAAGGATACACACTGAGCCAAATAAATCAAATCCCTTTTCTGCAGCTGGCCTCCTGTAGGTTTCTACCGAGCCACAGGTTAGCATTTAGCTGCAAGACAAATGTCTAACAGAGCCTTAGAGACTTACCTGCCTTTCTGACATGATGTAGAGTTGCTCATGGTCCTTGGAGAAGGCCATATCCCGGAGGACTGGGCCGGGGTCTACCACCTGCACAGTCTCGTACTGGAGGGCACTGCCCCTGGGCCCATCTACCCGGATCTGTGGAGAAGAGGAAAAGGAGAGATGATGTGAGTTCAGATCCTATAAGTCAAGCTACAGCCCAGAGAGCCTCCCAACAGCTAAAGGAGAGGCAGTGAGCTCTGCCTCCACAATGCCCAGAGGCCAGGCTCTGAGGAGCTTGAATGATAGAAGCCCCACCATGGGCTTCCTGCTGGGAATGGCAAAGAGAAGGGAAGGCAGGGAGACCAAACCAGGCTCCACAAGCATCCAGTGTTATCCTCTCTGGCTACTTCTGCCTCAGACTTAAGTCTTGAGGCCTGGCTTGTACATTTTTGGAGAAGAGGATGGGGTTGGTACTGGGGAGTGGGGGCTGGGGATTGGATGAACAATGGATAATTGAAGCTGCCACAGATCAGTGTCATCGTGTAATAGAAAGGCAATAGTATTTGCTACATTTGTTCTCAGAAAATACATTGGGTGTAAGGATGTGGGCTGATTCTTTGAAACTGCTACTCAGCTATCATTGCCATACCTTTGAGGGGAACCAGGCAAGGAGCCAAGCCCAGAAGTTTCACATTGAGTGGGCTACTTCTGGCCACTAAACCATTGGCTTATGCTTCAAGCTTTAGAGTAGACGTATGTCCTAGAGGTTCTATTTCTGTCCCCAAGGAAGGGGATGTGAGCATTCCAGGAAAATGCGTATTGGGTGTGAGTCATCTCCAAACTTCCGAGAACACTTAGCATAGTAGATCACCCCTGGGCCATCCGTAGGCCTTCCTAGAACTGCTTAGACAATGTGGAGACAACCAGGAGAGACTTTTGCCCACAACCCCCATAGTGGAGGACAAATCTAGAAAGACAGGGACTTCCCAACCCTATATGATGCTCATCTGACCCCGGGTGCTGGCCCAGGTCTCCAGCATCAGAATCATCACAAGTCTGGGCTGATAGATTCAAGACAATCAGTGTCCAGCGCTAATAATGCTACTCACCAATGGAACATGGGAAGGGGAGGGAAACAGTGGAGGTAGACAGGGAGAGGCAGTAGCTAGGGGATCACCAAACTTGATTAGATACCATTTGTATACAACTCTGTAAGGTACCCACAATATAATTTTAGAGATTTCAATAACAAAACTAAAGAAAAAATTATATTCCATATATTCCCATATACCCTCTAACTTTAAATTTTTAATATTTAATTTTTAACCTTTCATGAGATCGAGGAGAAGAGAAGTTATTCAGAGGAACCAAATTACAGAAGGGACACCGATGTAATGTCAACTGATGACATCAATTCATCTGAAAGTCTGCTGCTTCTCGTTTCTGTTGAATTCACTGAATTCTGACACTAGGTTATTTTGTGATTTATGTGTTTGATTTTAGGTTTGTTCCAGGCTCTGTTTATTTGTTTTCCTCTTAAGCACTATGTTTAAGCCCTTCCTACACATCAGGCACTGAGAAATGGTTTTGCACATAATTCCTTATTGGTGTAATCCTCTCAATCCTGTGGGCTTAGTGGTCATTTGTCCTGACTTGCATGGCCCCTCCAGCATCCATTCCAACCTCTCTCACCTTTGGGACAAGGCTGGACCCAACCCCTACTTCCCAGGGGTGCATCTTGATGGGCACAAGCATATCAGTTTAATCTCATTCTGGTGCCACAATTATCGAAAGAAAGCAGCCCCAAGCCAATCAACGTGTGCACTCAGAGCAAAGCAGGGCAAGACAGTGTTTTGTGATCAGGGAACAGAGAATTTCTCCTCATCCTCAGTAGGGTCAGAGAAACAGTTAGCTCCCAGAACTGTGGGCAGCTGTCTTGTGATAAAGAGGGGAGCTGAACACCAGGAAAGGTACCAAGATGGAAAAAAATTGGTCTTTGGTGATGTCCCTGAGACACTGAATCAAAATGACCCCAAAGCCTACCCTATGTCAGGACTTTCTAGTTACTCAAGTTATTTTCTTACTGTTAAAGGAACAAAGGGGCTTTCTGCAACGTCAAAAGTCCTACGTGATATGCTGATATAAGAGACGAGGAAAATGAGGCAGAGGTACATGAAACAACTAGCCTGAGATATAAAATCTGGGGACAGAATGAGAATCCAGTTCGACTCTGAAGTCCATGCTTTTCCTATCATCCATTACATGAGACTTGTTCCTTGATGGGTTTCATGTTTACTCTTTGGCGGGGTGGGGGGGTGCCACCAAAATAAAGACAGAGGGCTGAGGTCAGCATCTGTCTCTGGTCTATACGATTCCAGTGGTTTTCGCTAGTCATTCCTGATTTTGATGCTGAAATACTTGAGCTTGACAAATATTTATTTTAAAAACGGAGAAATAAATGAAGTTAAACCTCCTCCTTGCTGATTTCCCATTAAGCTCATGAAAACAAAAACAAAACCAAAAACTGATAAAGGAATTAAAGAAAATACTTTTAGCTCTGAAAATCAAAATGCCTCAGATTCCAATAGCCCTCCTGCTTCGGTACCCACCCCCACACCACCAGATGTCCATCCTGGCCAGGTCCTTCCTTAATCTGAATGAAATGAGAGTTCATGCAAAACCAATTGGGATTACCACCCAAGTCTGACCGTGTGGCGATGGCCTTGGCCCCCAGCCCAGCCAGGCTTCATCCCCAGCTGTGAGTCAACTCTGGAGCAACAGCACAAGAGTGACAAAAGTGATACTGAGCACCCTGGCTTGTCTCCAGCCCCCTCAGTCTGCCGGCAGGAGCAGGCCCCTCTAGGGAATGCTGCTAGATATGAGTCCCATCCAGTGGCCATGGTCTAATCTCCAAGGGAAAGTGGATTCAGTGTCCGATCAATCTTATTTATCATTGGGCCCCCCACTCTCTGCTCTTTAGTGCAAGGTGATGGGTTGGATATAGGGAGACATCAGAGGAAGCCAGGTGAGCAGGGGCAGGGAGAGGCATGAACCAGGGAGCACTGAGGGCAAGTTTTCATGAGCCTTTCCCAGGGACGGAGGATGCGGTTACGGTACCCACTTCCACACTCCACGTGGATGGGAAGTCAGTAATTGGAAAGGCAGGGTTCCCTCTCCCCATACCCCTCCGCAGTCCACTACTTGTTTCACAAAACAGAAAGGAAAGCATTCATTCATCCCCCTGCTGAAAGAATCTCACACCGATCTTGGATAAAAGGAGTTTGTGGTAGGATTTGCTGAATGATAGACAATCATAAAATTGAGGTAGGATGACCCAGCTGTGGGCTTCCTTGGTATCCCATAAGCAACAGCAACAAGAACTGTTAATAACTGAGTGGCTAATGTGAGTCAGGTCTCATGCTAGCCTTTATTAACTTCTCATTTAAGCCACAGAACTCTGTGAAATAGCATTGATATTACAGGTGAGGTACAGAGCGGTTTGCTAACTTGTTCATGGTCACACATCTAGCGAATGGCATGGCCTTGCCCCATACCAAGATCTGACTGATTCTGTCCGTGCCTCCTGTGTTTACAAACTATACCAGCGCATGTTGAACCAGGTTCTTTTGGTTATATAAACCTGCATCTCTTCAAGAAGTGAAAGCAGTTGGGGGCGCCTGGGTGGCTTAGTTGGTTAAGCGTCCGACTTTCGCTTAGGTCGTGATCTCGCAGTTCGTGGGTTCAGGCCCCGCGTCAGGCTCTGTGCTGACTGCCAGCTCAGAGCCTGGAGCCTGTTTCAGTCTGTGACTCCCTCTCTCTCTGACCCTCCCCTGCTCACACTGTCTCTCTCTCTCTCTCTCTCTCCTAGAAATAAATAAAACATTAAAAAAAAAAAGAATTAAAAAAATTGTTTAAAAAAAAAAAAAGAAGTGAAAGCAGTTGGAATTAAACGAACAGAACCCTGAGAGTGCTGGAGGACCCACCTCCGCATCTACTACAGTTCTTTTAAAAAAAATTTTTTTTAATGTTTTATTTATTTCTGAGAGAGGGAGACAGCGTGAGAAGGAGAAGGGGAGGATCAGAGAGAGGGAGACACAGAATCTGAAACAGGCTCCAGGCTCTGAGCTAGCTGTCAGCACAGAACCCGATGCAGGGCTCGATCCCACGAACCATGAGATCATGACCTGAGCCGAAGTCGGTCGTCCAACCGACTGAGCCACCCAGGCGCCCCAGTATCTACTACAGTTCTTTTGGGAGAGAATCATGTATATGAATGAAGAAGATGCTGTTGTAAATTTTCAAATAGCAATCCCTTATATTTTTGTTTTATACCTTGCACAGCATTCTTAAATAACACTGTCTCACTGGATGGTTATAAGATTTTTATGATTTTGATCAGTAGCACAATAATCCTCATTTTACCGATGAAGAAACTGAAATTGGAGCTGTCCTATGCATTGCCCAGTTCAGTGATAAACCAGTGACAGTATGGTCTAGGACTCAGGTCTCCTGATTCCTAGCTCAGTGCTTACCTCTTAGTGATTTAGATTTTTCCAAAAGCCTTTGACAAGGTTCCACATGAAAAGGTATTTAAAAATAATGAGTCTCTGTGGGACTTTGGGCAGTTTGACCAAGGGAGAGAACTGACTTAGAGATAGAAAAAGACCCGTTTCTGCATGGAGAAGTAGGCACTGGGGGACTTTTCAAGCACTGGTGTTATGACTTGTTTTATTTAATATTTTGTATAAGTGGTCTGGAGGAGGGAGCAGAAAACTAGGCAGACCATTCTAAGCTCTTTAGGAGAGCAGGAAGGCCAATAATGGAGAGTGACTACAGAAAAATGGGGCATCCTCAGCGAAGTCTGGGGAGGAAGCTGCACATGTGCAAAAAGGCCTGGGACTGTACGTCTCATGGGAGCAGAGTCTCAGCATTGCAGCCCCACCCAGCACAGCACCCGGGACATGGCTGGTACTAATAAGTAGTTCCTGATGCGTGTTGGCGAGAGTATAGAGAAAGGATACTCTTGCTCACTGTTGATGAAAATGTAAATTGGGGGGTGGGGGAGCTGGATGGTTCAGTTAGTGGTTGAGCATCCAATTCTTGATTTCAATTCAGGTTATGATCTCACAGTTCATG